TAATATATATAGAAAAACATAAATACCAAAAGAAAAATACTTAAAAGGAAAAAGAATAAAGAAGAAAAAAGAAAAAGATAAAAGAAAGTATAATAAAAGTAAAAAGTAGAAATAAAAAGAAAGTAAAGTCTATAAAATATTTTAAATTTTAAATATTAAATATAAGTTATTAAAAAACTAAATAATATTTTTTTATATCCAACTTATATCCAAGACTTTTTTGTCAGTTTCAGGGCTCTTCTGAAATCTACTAATAGTGCCTTCTTCAGTGTCTGATCAATGCCATCTATAGTCTATTAAAACCCTTGTGTCTATAACCTTGAATTTGGTGAAACAGAGCATCACAGGGCAACATTTTTTCAGCCAAGGTTCCTCAAATGAATCAACTTACAGAATGCATCCAAAATCCAGAACCCAGGACACCCATGGGATTAAAATTTGACAAATTTGTAATGACTTCTAGTTCAACCCCTTGCTCAAGACAGGAAACCCTACAGCAGTGGTTCTCAACCTTTCTAATGCCGTAACCCCTTAATACAGTTCCTCATGTTGTGGTGACCCCCAACCATAAAATTATTTTCGTTGCTACTTCATAACTGTAATTTTGCTACTGTTATGAATCATAATGTAAATATCTGATATGCAGGGTGTATTTTCATTGTTACGAATTGAACATAATTAAAGCATAGTGATTAATCACAAAAACAATATAGCAATGCTCGCTGGAGAAGCTTACTCTTCCTTGCTCAAAAATGTTGGGAGGGAGGGAAGGGGAAGGAAGGAAGGAAGATTGAAGGGGAAAGGAAGGAGATGGAGGAAGGAGAGGAGATTGAAGGGGAAAGGAAGGAAGGAGAAAGAGATTGAAGGGGAAGGGATGGAGGGAAGGAAGGAAGGAAGGAAGGAAGGGGAAAGGAAGGAGATGGAGAAGGAAGGAGATTGAAGGGGAAGGAAGGAAGGAGAGGAAGGAAGGAAGGAAGGAAGGAAGGAAGGAAGGAAGGAAGGAAGGAAGGAAGGAAGGAAGGAAGATTGAAGGGGAAAGGAAGGAGATGGAGAAGGAAGGAGATTGAAGGGGAAAGGAAGAAAGGAAGGAAGGAAGGAAGGAAGGAAGGAAGGAAGGAAGGAAGGAAGGAAGGAAGGAAGGAGAGAGATTGAAGGGGAAGGGATGGAGATGGAAGGAAGGAAAGAAGATTGAAGGGGAAAGGAAGGAGATGGAGAAGGAAGGAGATTGAGGGGGAAAGGAAGGAAGGAAGGAAGGAAGGAAGGAAGGAAGGAAGGAAGGAAGGAAGGAAGGAAGGAGAGATTGAAGGTGAAGGGAAGGAGATGGAAGGAAGGAAGGAAGGAAGGAGAGATTGAAGGGGAAAGGAAGGAGATGGAGAAGGAAAGAGATTGAAGGGGAAAGGAAGGAAGCAAGGAGAGATTGAAGGGGAAGGGAAGGAGATGGATGGATGAAAGGAAGGAAAAGGACTGATCAATCTTTGGAGAGTCATGTTTTTCCAGATGGTGATGAACTGCAACTCCCAGCATTCCCCACTCTTCCACAGTGCTTTTTAGGGCTGCTGGAGATGGTAGTCCAGTAAGGTCTGGAGACACACAGAGATGCCCTCTGATGGCAAGGGAGGCAGGCTGGACGGCGTGGGGGAGGCTCTGGTGTGGCATGGAGGGCGGCCGGGGGCAGAGCATGGCCGGGCAACCAGGAGGTGTGGGGATCGGCTCAGTGCCGCAGCTCAGTTCAGCCAGCAGCAGCAGCAGCAGTGCGTTGCCTGAACAGGGCGGGAAGAGAGGGGGGGGGTGGCAAATCATGAAAGCAGCGTCCACACATTCAGGGTACAAACGCCTTGGACCATTTGGCTCCCCCACCCCTTTATTTACTGAACTGCCACAAGCTTGTGCAAACAAGCCCCAAGGAGTTCTGAACGAGCTGTCGTTTAAAAAAAAAAAAGCTTCCAGCAACGAGGCAGAAAGGGGAACTCGCTCACGGCTCTTTTTTTTTCCCTTTCTCGGCTGGGAAGGCAATCTCTTTCCTCTCTCTTTCCTCTTTCTCTTTGTTTCCTCCCTCTTTCTCTTTCTCTCTCTTTCCTCTTTCTTTTCCTATGTTTCTCTTTCCTCTCTCTTACAGCAGTATCATCGGGGGTCCTCAGCCGGACAGGGAGGGGGAGCAGGACGGGAGGCAGCGACTCCAACGGCAGCAGCAGTGACAGGGCAGCATCGTTGGGGTCTCTGCCGCCCCCGGCCTGGCCGCCGCCCCTGGCCCAGCTGCCGCCCCCACTGGGACTCTGCGCTGTCTGGCCTCGTCCTCCACCCACCTATGGAGCCGTGGTGGAGGCAGCACCCACCTGAGCCGCCTGGGGGGGCAGTAGGAGGAAGGAGAGGAGGAGGGCGAGGAAGCAGTTGCCCTAACAAGGACTCCACGCTGCCCGGCCTCGCCCTTCGCCCATCCAATGAAGCCATGGTGGGGGCTGGTGCCGCACGGCCCCTGCCAGGCCCTTATCCAGCCCAGCTGCTCCCCCCCAGGCACCCCTCTTTTCCTGGCGCCCGCCCGAGCCACTTTGGGGGCAGCAAGAGGAAAAAGGGGAGGAGGAAGGGGAGGGCAAGGAAGCCGCCACCAGCGCTGGGCCCCAGGAGGTGGCTCTCCTCTCCTACCTTTGCTGCATCTCCTTATTCCTTCCCAGCAGCCTGGATTCCGGCACGCCTTCCTGGCCAGCAGGTCCAATGGTTGGGCTGGCTGGGGATTGCAGGGGCTGGTCTCCCTTGGGCCGCGGCTTGCGGGAGGGCTGCCCCGCTCAGCGGAGCTCCAGCAGGCTACTCCCAGCAGGGATCCCGGGACTTCCCTGGGCGGCTCCAAGCCACGAGGCCCTCGCCACGCTTCTCCCAGGGGGTGGGGCACCCAGGCACAGGGCCAATCAGGACCCCTGTAGGAGGTAAGTCCACCTGAGAGAGAAGGGAAGTGAAAGTGCCTCTCTCTCTCTGCAAGTGACGGAGGAGGCTGTGCGGAGACAAATGCGGAGCGGTTCCTAAGACCATCGGAAATATGTGTTTTCCGATGGTCTTAGGCGACCCCTGTGAAACGGTCGTTTGACCCCAAAAGGGGTCGTGACCCACAGGTTGAGAACTGCTGTTCTAGGTTATATTGCACATATGAATGGACTAATTCTGCTGAGCACCATTTAAGCTAGCAGCAAACATCTGCTTAACTCAACTATGTATCTTAAGCATGTCTTGTGCAAAAATATATATTTAATTCCTTTGTATACAGCAGGGTAGGCAATCTTGGCTCTTTTATGACTCGTGGACTTCAAGGTTGCCTACCCCTGGTATACAGGGATTTAAATCTTCCTTTCCAGAAAATTTCCTAGGCTGGAAGCAATAAATAGCACTATAAAAATACAATTAAAATAATTAAAGTTAAACATACCGGAAAATTAAAGTCAACCTAGTCCCTAGGCTGTTGAATAGAAAATTCTTCATCTTGCAAGAAGAAAAAGGAAAATATCACCTGAGAACAAGTGGGATGTGTGTAAAACATTTAGGATCTCTTATCAGTGTCAAAACAGATCCTTATGTGGTCCCACTATTTAATATCCCAGTGTACTTATTTTTTGAAGGAGTAACCTTCCAGCCTCCTCTGGACTTCTTATATTTTAACCAGTTCATAGTCTGTTAGATGATCTGTCCCTTGGCCTACGACATTTATTATCTTTTCACTATTTAAAATGGATATTTTCAACGAACTTTAGTAAATTAATGAGAAATATTAATCTCAGTAAGAGCAACACTCAATCTATATAATTAATTCAGATTTTTATAATTAGTACAATTTGTTTCAGCTAGAATGGTAGGAAAAGAAACAATGCAACTGTAATACTTCCAGTTTTCTATTGTGGTCCCTGTGTTTCATTTACATGGGTTAAATACTTGTGAGAACCCTGTTCAGAACATTTTGGAACAGTATTTCTCAATCTCAGAAACTTATGTTGCTTAAGGAATTCTGGGAGTTGAAGTCTACACAGTTTAAAGTTGCTGAAGTTGAGAAACAGCGTGCTAGTCCTAGAGTTTAAAGAGTTGTTTGGCAAGACTCTCCCTTGCACCCCAAACAATGAGGCCTAGTTCCTGCCAAATCAATCAGAATAGAGTTGGAAGGGACTTGGAGGTCTGCTAGTCCAGTCCTTTCAATTTATTTTTCACTGTCACAGTCTTTGCACATGCATCCTAAAGCCACTTGTCCTTGTGCTTTATCAGAATTATCTTGTTCTTCTTTCTCATCTTCTCTCTCAATAACTCTTCAAAAGTTAGGAGTTGTCACTATAATTCTCTGGCGAAATGTAGGAAATGCTTCAATGTTATGAGATTCAGCATTATGACTCTAACACCCTATTTTGCCTTGTGAGATTAATTTTCCCCACCCACCCTTCCATGGGCATAAAACTGTAAATTTTTGCATGTTTTTACAATAGACATTTGTGTGGTTTGTCACAAACAGTCTTCTCGCTTGCAATTCACTCTGTAGTGGTGAACTTTAAAAAAGAACAGATGCCTCATGTTTCTCCAAACCACCTACTATATCTCCAAAATTGTTTGTCTGCTCCTCCTATCTGTGAAAGTTTAACTGAATTCACCACCACCTATACCATCATTTGCAGATTCACAAAACTTATCTTTCCCATCCCACTTAATCTGAAATGTCCTCACTGTTCTTTTAGTTTTTAAGAAGGGCCCAATCACAATTGTCTTCATGGAGGCTCGAATGCTGTGGCTTCTTTACAGCAGCCATTTCAGATTGTCATTTTTTTTTTAACAAAGCACTTGAAGAGCACCACTTCATCCCTGAAAATGTAATCATGGACCCTCTAGAAACTCTGCAAATCATGTGCATGACAAATAGCATTACATCCTATCTAATTATGGCTTGTTGATATAACATACAATGTTTACACACACACTCACACGCACAACAAATATTTGCCAAGAAATATACATGGAAGAATAATAAAAAAGGCATTGTATCAGTTCTGCTTGAAACCAGTCAAGCCTATTTTTTTTATTTCTTTTATCTTAAAAAAACACACACACAAAACACAATCACCTAGCCTTTAATGCTGGAAGTATACATGAATTTTACATAGGCTACGTCTACCGTTGTCAAAAATCCCCTTCCCACAAATCCCACCCAATTAACGTACAGATTGATACAGATTGATACGTAACATTAAACATTAAAACAGGCTTTTAAAGACATGGATGAGTCTAAGACCATTGAAGAACATCCCAATTAGAAGGCTAGGTAACTGGAATACAAGAATATTCTTTAGTCCAACAGAGATGTGGTCAGTGAACTTGGAAAGTAAACGGAGCAGGTTTCATGTTATGGCATCTGGTTATCCTTTTCAGAATGATATACTTTTTGGTATAAGGCAACAAAAGCGTTGAGGCAAATGTTAGCTCAACAACTCTTCTCATATCCCAGCAAGTCAACTCTTCATAATTTCTTCTATCCCAAGTAATACAAAAAGTGAGGCACAAATGTGTAATGTAATGGCTTCCTTTCGATCAGAGTGCTTTATTAACCCAGACTATCCTGATCCTTCAGTCCGTTTTTCTGAGAAGTTTTTCAAGAAAGAAATATGGAAGCAACAAGAAATACCAGAAATGCTTTTTACTCCTTTTTACTCTAGTAATGTCTTCATTTTTAGGAATAGGGCAAAGGAAAGGGCTAGGATTAGAGATGGATAAATAATACTGTACAAAAAACATATATTTTAATACCAATTATTTAATTATGCAGGCAAAGATTCTGAAATGAATATTGTAATGTTGCTAGATCACATGTACTGAATAGTGCCAAGAAGGCAACCAATGTATAATTAGGTATTGAACAAAAGTTACAAAATAGCAAATGGTTCAACCACTGCTTAACAGTAGTAGGAGACTGATGGTAAAATTAGAAAGTCAATCACGACAAACAAATAGTAGGATTTCTACTTTTATGTAGCAGGATCTCCCTCAGAATGACCTATGTTGATCTCATGTCTAGTCAATGGACAGATGAATCATACTCCTATCATTAACATCCTGAATCTGTCTAAGTCAGACTTATCTGCCTTTGAAAAAAATGCAGCCACTTAAACTCAAACAACTGTTTTTTACAGGCGAATTTTAGAGCTGGATTCAATTTCAGCAAATTAATGAGATTCAGCTCATGGGAGCTTACTAGGCAAATTCCCGTAACACAAATGTTGTATTGCCTTTTGAAACTAGTATTTTTTTTTCTTTCCTGTTAAAATCTTTTCAACACAAATTGTATGGTTAATTTCTACATACCAGATTCTCACCTACACTCTCAAACCACATTGTAATGGAACTTGTAAATTACTAAAAGTGATGTAGTTAAAATCTCTTTATCATCAATTGCTTTAAAACCTGCATGGCTATAAATGAGAAGCTAACACTTTTTGGCATGTTCTCACTTCAGCTATTCAGCTATATGAAATTAAAAAAAATAAATCAAAGGCAAGCACACACTTATTTTCATCATGCTTGTCCATTTAAGTATACAGAAATAATGAGTAGGAAAAAAGTGGCCCCTGCATAGTTTTGAAGAACAAGTTCCACATGGATATCTTCATATTTATGAATCTTCTGCATCTTGGCTGTAGCTCCAAAATTGAAATACATCTTATTAAATGGCTCTTGACATCATGCGTTTTTAGATCCACTTCACATCACCAAAAATGCTATAATCTGTCACTAGCTGGCCAGAATTTAAACAGGTTTTTGCCTAAGATAATTCAAACAATCCACATAGCTTTTAGGAGTGTGCCGTTCTTTTAGGCTGTTTGTCATGTTTCAAAAGACATTGCCAATTTAGCTTTCTGAAAAAGCTCTCACTGTAAAATGTATGGGGAAGAGATAACAGGGCCGAGGTAAATCCTTCGTAAATTTCTTTTAGTTCAACTTTGTTAAAGACTAGAAAAACTGAGTCTTAGCCTGGAAGGCTCCCAATCTGTTACCTTCTATATTTAGAAAAGATGGAACAAAAGTTAGAAGGGTCAGAAGACTTCATTGCAGATGTAGATAAAAGTTTGATAGTGCAAGTCTCAAAGATGCAGCACCAACCATATGGACATGGATAACCTGTATGTCATGCCCTCGACGTATACTGAAACGCGATTAAGATACTGAAAAATCCAAGTGAGACAGAGATCTGCATTGCAGAGAGAGTACACTGAACTTCATTAGCAAGTCTTCAAACATGGTGCTTACATAAAAACACTAGCTGTCATATAAAAGGGAGCTACGGCAGATGCATTGTTCACATCAGAGGAAAATACAGAGACAGAAGACTAAAATAATGAACAATAACAACCGGGATAGCTCTTTGCACTTAAGTACCTATTATGGAATCGTATTACCTATATGTTCTCCTTGCCATGAAGCTTCTTAGCCCATGATTATATTTAGTGACGTTAAATGGCACATGACGCTGAAAAAGAAAAGTGGCTCGTCTTCCCTTTTTCCTTTTTTCTGTGAACATTGTTCAAGAAATGACTTACCTACAGAAGGAAGAGTAGCCTAGGTATAATACTACATAATGGCATGTTTCCTCTTGCAATTCATTTCGGAGACATACCCAAATTGGAATGTTTGGTATCCCAGATACTTTGCTTTTCGCTGTTTCTAATAGAGTTGGGCCTTACGAAGAACTATAAATACGCTAATTAAATATCGTAATACTAAAACAGGGACTGTTGAGCTGTTGTAATGCAAAAGCAACAACAGGACTATGGCTTTTTTCGGAGATAATTGGAAGGAATCCAGCCTTCCCAACACGGCCCTGCTGCGAGGACTTTGCAAAACCACCAGCCACTGCTATTCTTCTCACGGACTTCAAATACAGTCCCTTCTTTAAAACTGCTAGTTTCTTCATCTCCTTCAAAATCTGCCACAGCCACATAGAGGGCTTCTTTGGGGACATCCAGGCTGGCAATTGGAATGGATGCTCTTTCCTTCTCCACAGACTTGGGCAATGACTTTTGGCCTGAGCTGCTTTTTGTTTTGGTCTCCTCTTGGCCAGGACACGGTAGGAAGGCTTTGGCTTTTGGTGGAACTAATATTGGCCTACTGGACACTGGGACAGCTCGAACTTCAGGCACTTCCTTCTGGGCGACTTTATGTTCTGCAGGGGGGGCAAATGAAGCCAGGGGTGCTGGCACACTAGATTTCTTAGGAGGTGGAGGCCTTCTGGGAGGTACTACTGGACGTTGAGGGGGTTCCCTGGGTACCGGAAAGCTGCTCTTGGGTTCATTTTCACCTGGCTTTGATGAACCCACAGGAACTTTGGGGAAAGGAGCCTCCTTAAAGATTTGGCTGTCAGGTCTAGAGGGAGGTCTAATCTCCACATTTGGCTTTTCCTGAGATTTGACAGAAGGTTCTGCTGGAAGTCCACTGTTACTGAAGGCACTCTCATTAACCCCAGGGTCCTGCTCTGACAGCCTCTCTTGAGCCTTTGCAGGCTTGAGTTTGCTCCTCAGGTTGCAAAGGTCTAGTTTATTCTCTGACTGAGGAGGATCTGTCCTAGGGGCAGGTGCTGGCTTCGGTTTGATCTGAGGTTTTGATTTCAGAAAAAGGTTTGGGGTAGCTGCCTCAGGCTTATCTTCCGGGGGCTCAATCTTTGGTTTCATTGGCTTGACTATGGGCCGGAGATTGGGCTTCTTTATTTCTTTTGGAGAAACCTTATGACCACACTCAAGGCCCATTTCATTTTTCAACTGGAACAATTTGCCCTTCTCTGTTTTAAGCTCTGGCTTCTTGTTGTCCCTTGGAGGGACGGTCTGCTTTGGAGGAATTCCAGGTAAAATCATGCCAGGAGGCTTTGGAGGTGGCCGCTGCTCCAACCTTTGCCTTTCCATTAACTCCTCTTCTGATTTAATTATGGATTCCTTCCTTGGAGGAAGACTGGGTTTCTCTTCCGTATCCCGATCGCCTATTTCCTCATACCCAACACACAGAGAAGCATCACTGTTCTCAGGCAAAGCATCCTGGGACGTCTCCTTTCCTTTCCATTTGATTCCATATTCAACACCATTAGGGGGTGCTTCAGGCAGAGGTCGAGATGGCCCAGCAGGGTCTCCGTTAGAGTTGTTCTCTGCCGTGCTGTCACCAAGCCGTAGCTGTGCTATTTCGTTTGGTAACGGTGCCAAGAAATTAGGTCTACTCGCATTGCTAGTTTTCTTGTATTTGTCAATAAAAGTAGCCGGCGCCCAGCCTTCCTTCTCTTCAATTTGAATATACCACCAACCACTTAGGTTCTTCTCAATTACCTGGAAAAGGAAATAAAGCCACCATACTTTAGAGCTTTACAACAACTGCATTATCTAAAATTTGTGAGATTTAAGTTTAGCATTAAGAGTTTAACTGGTCCTTTTCCCATTTCATGTTCCGTATAACAGAATATAATAGCCATCTATTTTCAGCCTACAGATTCATCACCATAATCTGTTATCAAGGTGGTTTACGGTGATAAATCTATAGTCTGAAAATGAATGCGTAGTGTGACCAAATCAGTCAGTCCTAAAGGAAATCAACATTGACTGTTCTTTGGAAGGACAGATACTGAAACTAAAGCTGAAATACTTTGCCCCTCAGATCAGAAAAGAGGACTCACTGGGAAAGACCCTGATGTTGGGAAAGATTGAAGACAAAAGGAGAAAGGGATGGCAGAAGATGAGATGGTTACGTAGTCATTGAAGCAATGGGCATGAGTTTGGGGAGACTCAGGGAGACAATGGAGGATAGGGGGCCTGGAGTGCTACGGTCCATGAGGTGACGAAGAGTCGGACACAACTCAGGAACTGAACAAAAACAAACAAGCAAAAATCACATCCTAAACAGTTGAGTGCTTTCCATTTCATTGATTCTAACTCTACAGCACTGACCCAGGATAATAAACGATTAGATTCTCAAATTTGGTGTCATTTTACTCCCTGCAGCATATATAATAATTATTTAATAAAGACACGATGTTAGCAGTTATCATCATCTAAAATTTAAATTAAGTAGTTGACAAAATTTGCATATTTCTTCTGTGTGCACCTTTAAATGCTGCTTGATAGAATGGTTGCTACTGAATCCATCTGGACACCTTAAGGTTCGGAGGAGCACATCCAGCTTTTGTACAACACAGGGCATGACCAAAGTTCTAATGATGCAAGCCCAAGAGAGAAGCAAGCATTTCCAGATGATTTATGCTACTGATCATGAAATGAGCGGTTTTCCTGAATGATTACGTATCTAAGCATGGGCAGGGAATCCAAAAAAGTGGTGGCAGCTGACTTCTGCGTGAATCTTTGATATGACAAGAAAACAAATAGTCACTAGAGGTCAGTATTGAGCCATCTGTAAATGTGCATTGCCTGGATACCGGAAAATAGGCAAAACATTTCTGAATTTTAAAACCAGGACTATTTTAAAGGGAGGACATTGTCCTATAATTTAAGAGTGCATGAATGGCAGATAAAGATAAGATCTCCACTTTCTCAAGTTAAAAATATGTGTAATGGAAGCACAGAAAATTTGTAATACACCTTTCTTGTAATACACCTTTCCCCACAGCTACAAGAGGATAGTCCTCTTGTATTTATAAAGTCACATAAGGGCACGGGTCTAAGTAGAGTCTTAGTAGCACATTCTGTAGGTAAACCTTTCCCAGTTTGATTTGTTCAAACAGCTTCTATTCTTATCAAACTTAAATGAAGGGAAGCAGCATCTTGTTTCCTGCAATATATTTCTGACTCAGGTAGTTGAGATGGAAACAGTTGCAACAAAGAAAAACTTCATTAGAAAACTATGATTAAAATAAAAATACAGAGCTTATTAGAAGCTGACAACACTACAGGTAGTGCTTGACTTACGAATGTAACACAGCCTGCCAATCACATTCATAACCCGAGGAATTCGTTAATGGGAATGCTTTACCCAATGCATTTGCTAATTGAATGATCAGGTCGTTAAGTGCACATGAGGTATTTCAGGGTGGGGAAGAACCTGGGGGGGGGGGCTACTGCTTCCGACCACCCAAAAGCCTCATCCCAGCCACTGAGATATTTCAGGCTTCCCCCCCCCTCCTGCCCCCACCGGGTCTCCACAGGCACTGGGTCTGTGGAGACTCACTTAACTTTTGAAGATCTCGATGATCAAGTGAGGCATGTCCTCTCCAGCCTCTCTGCTGCGGTTTCTTTGCCTGTGTGCCAGCGAAAAGCTTTTGACATGAAGAACGGAGACCAGGAGGGACGTGCATGCTGCTCCCAGCCTCTGTTCTTGCCACAAAAGCCTTGAGCAAAGGCTTGCTGAAGCTTGCAGGGGTGAGAGATTACGTCCATGCAGGCTCCAGTTGGTGCAAAGAATGGAGGCTGGGAGGCGCATGCATGGCGCCCTGGCCTCCGTTCTAGGCAGCAAAAGCTTTTTGCAAAGATGACCGGAGCCTGCAGGGACACAGGCTCTCTCACCCATGCAGGCTTTGGCAAGGAAACAGCAAATAGATGGAAGGCCTGAAACACTGAAGTCTCCCATCTGTTTGCAAAGCCTTTTGGCGCAGATCTAGTTCAGGCCTCCATCTGCAGAGAATGGAGGCCTGAAGTAGCGTGAGACCATGTGAGATTAGTGGCGAATTCTCTGCAAACGCACGGAAGCACCCAAGCAGGCAAAGAAACTGCAGCAAAGAGGCTGGAGAGGAGACAGCTCGCAGCCTTCCATCCTTCCAAGGTCGGTAAAATGAGGAGCCAGATTGTCGGGGGCCATAGGCTGACTCTGTAAACTGCTTAGAGAGGGCTGTAAAGCACTGGGAAGCAGTATATAAGTCTAAGTGCTATTGCTATTGCTAGATCTGTGCCTGTGGAAATCTGGAGGGGAGAGGAAGGGGAATAGGCAGGGTGAATATTGCAGTGCCTTTGCGGTCATTCCTGAGAGCGAATTACTGCCGTGGTGATGCAACATTTGTAACCTTGGGACTGTGTTATAAGTACTGGGGGGAGGGAGAGTGATGTATCTTTGAACGGTCACTAAGTGAACTGTCATAACTGAAGGATTACCTCTATTCCATTGTAAAAGGCTTTTCTTTTAAAGTGAGTTTTAAAGGGAGCTCTGTGGAAAAAGCCAAGGATTATGGAGACGGGCCTGACAAGACTTAGTCTCACCTCTACTTTCAGTCCTGCCTGGAAGCTGATCCCATCAGGGATGATGGTCTGGAAATCAGCAATGGTGTAATACTCTTCCTCCACCTGTGGGGGCACTGGAGGCTTTGGCAGATTGACACACCGTTTCTATTACAAGAATATTAAAAACATGCGTTAGTCATCTTCCATACACAAAAAGCAATTCTTTACACATGAGGCATTCCAGCCTCCATCTGCAGGATCTGCAGGGTCACAAAGCAAGTGAGCCCAAGGAGATGACAAGCCCCTAACGCATTTTTCAGCATGGTCTCTGCAGAACAAGAGATGAAATGTTTCTGCGGTCAGTTCCAACTCTGAAATCAAAGTCGTGCGTTTATAGAAAATCAGCTTTTTGGGTGGTGCTCAGAAGCAAAGCTAAGTAGAAATAAAAGTGAGGTCTGTGGTTTTAAAGTTTAAAGATGCATTAATTGTATACGGCAAAGTTATTCAATGTTGGAAAAATCAGTTTGATTGCAGGTATAAATTCCAGAAACAGACTTCTTGCTATGACAGCTATCCAAGCCACACAAGTAAAAACTGTGATTGCATCCCATTCAGTTAATTGCCTTGGGAACAAAGCTAATGCCATGTTGAACCTTATTTACTCCTTATATGTTCGAAGGAGAAAGCAATTTTTTGCCAATTTCCTCCTTAATTGACATATCTATAACAATGCTTTGGACATGGCGATTTATGCTGACATAAAAGAGGTAGCAAGACCTGTATCTCTTTTATCGTCCCAACATCTTTCATTTCATCTGATAAGTTGTTGTCAGGCTGCTTAAATGCATCAGGAAACAACACTTACTATTGAGAGATCTCGACGCGGAGGGGGTCTTTGTCTCATCTTTGGTGACTCTGTCAAAACAGGTATTTAAATGTGCTTCAAAGATATCAACGTGTGCTTCAGAAAACATTTGTGAACAACACCCCATTACTCCAGTCCAAGAAAGTACGTCTATAGCTTTTCCGTCTGCTTTTCCCCATGAGCAGCACACCCAGGCAGCTCCCTTCATTCATTTTAATCTCAGTGGTGATTCATCTCACCCGGGTTTTAGTACATCCCTGGAAGATTTTAAGAAGAGACTTGGACAGCCATTTGCCTGAAATGGAATAGAGTCTCCTGCTTGAACAGGGGGTTGGACTAGAAGACCTCCAAGGTCCCTTCCAGCTCTATTCTGATTGATTGATTGATTGAAGATCTTGGATCAGATGCCCTAAGCATTCCACTGAGTTCCACAGAGGCCGGGTGGGTAGGGAAGGGGAGAAGGAAGGGAGAAAGAAAGCAGATGAGGTTTTCCTTCATAGATAATCTAGGAACAATGGAATGCTTGTATCCCTTGATGGAAACATGTAATACCCAGACATCCATTACAAATGTTTGAGGAGGTGGCCTTGAAGGATGGGAGGAAAAGCTACCACCAAGGCAATGGTCAGATAAGCAGGGCTTGAGCCTCAGCCAAGGAAAGAATGAGCCCCTCCCTTGTTCACATGAAGGGAGCAGTGGGGCACGGGGAGACACAGTTAGACTTGCAAGATATGGTTGCAATAAAAGTAGTCCTAAGCTATATGGCATTAGTTTCTTAGCCTGGTCAATCTGTTAGAGTTAACATTCAGCCATCCCACAGATTTGTTATCTATGGCCCAACCAATTCTACGTCAGAGGAGCAAAAAGTTGGGAAAGGTGAGGATTTAGCATTAAAGCAGTGTTTCTCAACCTTGACAATTTTAAGGCGTGTGGACTTCAACTCCCAGAATTCCACAGCCAGCAATGCTGGCTGTGGAATTCTGGGAGTTGAAGTCCACACGCCTTAAAATTGTCAAGGTTGAGAAACACTGCATTAAAGAGACACAACTGGAGTCCAGAACCTTAAAATAAGAAGCCTTAATACTCTATAGCTAGTCCTGGGGAAGCTGGCAGGGAGTCAAAAGTCATGTTCATGTGAGGTCCTTGCTTAATGACCCACATGGTCCTTGTTTAACAATGGACGTCAGGACCGCTGAAATTGCCATTGCTAAGCCATGCAATCACAGACCATTGCACTTTATGACCCCCATGGAGTTCCCAGTTCGAATTGCTGTTGTAGCCCGAGGATCACCCATACAACAGAAAATTATTATTCAGAAAATAATACCAAACAGTATCATCAAATGAAATTTTTACCATAAGAGGATGAAAAATTCATTTGTTCATTTGAATCATTTTTATTAAATAACTTTTTAGCAAAGTAAATGCTGTAAGGGAAAATAAAATAATAAAGGAGAACAGTAAATAGTAATTTTGGGCCACTCGTTTTTTTTCTCGCCACATCCCATCACACAGGATGATTGTTGTGGGGGAAAAGAGGAGGAGGAGGAAGGATTAGGTATCTTGCCGCTTTGAGTTATCAATAAAATATCTGTTCCGTATTCTCAATATGCAACTTCCAATGTAAAGATTCTTAAAATCCACACTAGCCTTAACTTTATCCTATCAAGAAAACCATGCCAGGATGGAAAATGTATTGACTACTTCGAGTGTAATTAGATTAACTAGTCCAATTTAAGCTGGCGTGAATTTAAAATTAGATCAAAATTTACTATTTGTTCTGACTTAATTATCACTGGACTGCAAGAACTCCTGAAGGCCAGTCAAAAGCAAAATGGAACCCTCAGTTCAAAGAAAAAAATGGATAACCCAATTCTAGAGCCATAGAGATTTCTTGCTTTTACCTGACTGACCAATTTTCTTCAGAAAGCATTGAACCCTTTCTTCGTTGTCCCCAACTTACTTCGTTGAAGGTCCACATTGGGCAAGGGGCGACCATCATATCTTCCATCTCTTTGATTACTCGGTCCATCCTTGTCTCGACCTGGGGAGTTTTGCTGTCGAGGAAGTCCATCCATATCCAACGGGTGTGAATGGGCTGAAGCTGCAGATCCCAGTTTTGATGTAAGTAGGTCTCCACTCCCTCTTTTCAGGTAAGATGCTGGGGCCCAGCCCTCCTGATCCTGATATCTAAAGAAATAGAAATAATCTGAAATAGTCTAATTTTTTACTATGGGCAACAAATTCCCAACACGGGCAATCTCATCCACAGCAATGCCCAAGAGCAAAATCGGTGTTCCAATTCAGTTTTAAGATGATAATCTGAATCAGAATGTTATTTTTTTTTATTTTCCTTAGAGATATCTGACACACATTTTCCCAAAATACTGGGTACCTTGCGAGTTCTTAACAGTAAGTAAAGCTGCTTAATTTTTTACCCACTGTTTCACATAACGAAGCTCAAGAGGTTGTGAAGACAAAAGCACAGAAGAATTTGTAACATGCAACATTGTGATAATCAGAAGTGAACAGATGGGGCACAACAAACTTTCCCAGCACATGGGAATCGGTCTCTCTTTGCAAGATGGTCCAGCATCAAGCATAGTAACTAACATGATTAGAGAAGATATCAAGCTGATTAATTGGTACTAATCATCAACTATCAAAAATCTTTTGTAATAACAAGACTTAGACAAAGGTTCAGCCAATAACACACTCTGGAAGCCTATATTGAAGCTTTCCATCAGAGTACATTGAATTTTGGGGGGGGGGGTGAGGGAACAGTACAATATCTGAGCCCTCCCATCTTCTCAGCACAACCCACTGTTCTTTTTACAAATACAATCAATTTATGCTGAGGCAACAGACCATCTCTTCATAATTCTGTGAGGATTTCCCTTTATAAAATGCTGAAGGAAACCTAGGACCAAACTGAAAATTTTTTGCATACCTACTACTTTTCTTCAAAAACCAGATTTATTTATTTTTCTGAAGCAGAATAAATGTTATGGAGTGCCTATCTCTATGCAAGTAACCTACGAACACAATTGAGCCCAAGGTTTCTGTTGCTAAGTGAAACGTTTTAAAGTGAATTTTGCCCCATTTTTATGATCTCCCTCACCACAGTTGTTAAGTGAATCTGGCTTCCTCATTGATTTTGTCAGAAGGTTGCAAAAGGGGATCCCATGGCCCCAGGACACTGCAACCTTCTTAAATATGAATCAGTTGCCAAGTGTCCGAATTTTGACCCCATGACTATGGGGATGCTGCAACGGTCGTAAGTGTGAAAAGCGATCATAAGTCACTTTTTTCAGTGCCATTATAACATTCACTAAATGATCTATAGTAAGTTGAGGACTGTCTGTACTTGAAAGTTATTCTCCTATCCCTTCACTGATGAAAACCGCAAAAACAATGGAATAACTCAGGTCTTGTGACCTAAAGTCTCTCCTTCCCATTAATGCCTTTTGAATCATGACTGGAAATATACCTGATTTTCCACCAGCCCTCCAGATTTTTTTGGATCACCTCCACTGTAGCTCCTTTGTCCAGGTTTATTTCATCTTGATCCCGGGCAGCATATGGGTAGATCACCATATACTTCTCTATTCAAAGAGAAATATAGCAGTAAAAGAGAGAAAGAGAGAGAAAGAGAAAAAAAAGATAAATAATAATTGGGAAGACATCAATTTTTTCTAAAAAACAGAACTAATCTGAAAATCCACACATTTTAGATAATTTAGCACAACAACAACAACAACAACAACAACAATAATAAGGTTTATTCTGTCCTTTTGACATAAAAGCTCACCAAAGGCTCAACATCACCTTTGAAAGACAGATTTTCATAATTTATAATAAAACTCCTCAAGCCTACTGCAGCCCCACAATGGCTTTCAAATAACCTCTAATGGAAGCAGGCACATAAAAATGGTTATTTATGGAATCTGATAATCCAGAAAACAATGTGATGGTATGTTTTTTGTTTGACGATGATCAAGTAGTTCTACATGATCTATTTTTTCACTTATTCCAAGTGTCAGAGACAAAGTACTAGATGTTTTAATACAGATGTCATTTTAGCAATCTTGATCAGGACCAATGACAGTTCATTCAAATGAACTATTCATGTGAACAACGGAATAAGAGACATATCTCTTGTAGGCTGAAATGCTATGCAATTATGTCATCCATTTCCCTAAGGCAGTGATGGCGAACCTTTTAGAGACCAAGTGCCCAAACTGCAACCCAAAACCCACTTATTTATCACAAAGTGCCAGGGACGCATCAGCATTGTGGTGCCCTTGGGGGGGGGCAAGGAGTTGCCTCTGATGCCCCCTCTGGTACGCAAAAACCAGGGGCGCAAAAATGGGCCACTGTGCTGCAAGGTGCAAAAATGGCTGCCGCCGCACTGCAGAGTGCAGATACAAGGTGATGCACCACGCAAGAACGGGGCAGGGCTAGTGAGTATCACACAGGCACTAGCCCTGCCCCATTTGCAGTGAGTGCGTGCTCGCAGCCCTGAGTGCGCATTTGCGCATGTAAAATGCTTCCCCCTCCCTTTTCTTTCAGTCCACCAATCGACAATGGTTGGTGACCTCTGCTCTACCACCTCTACTCGAGCTTGCTAGTTGGCCACTTCGCTTCCTTTCTGCTGGGTGAGGCTCCTGCTCTGGGCGGCAGTGGCAGCCTGATGGACCTGCTGCTGGTGGCAGTGGCGCACGTGCCAACAGAGAGGGCTCTGAGTGCCGCCTCTGGCACCCATGCCATAGGTTCGCCACCACTGCCCTAAGGTATCCTGAAAGTAGGCTTGACATAGCTGCAGTAATTGCTGGCCCATGTTAAGGTTGCTTTCCCAGTAATTAGTTCTTCTTCCGAAGAACTCACAATTAAACCTTTCAAATAATGCAAAAACTTCCTTTATCTCCATCAGCTACTAATGCCCAATTCTTCGGTTATTCTGTAGGAAGTGAATCTGAAATGGCCCTCTATGCAAATACTAAGGATTGTTTTTCAGAGAATTGCAAACACAGTTCAGAGATTGTTTAGTGTAAAACTATCTCTAAAAGGGAAAATGCACCAGTTATGCTAAAGCAGAAGAACATCATGTCAATGGGAAAAGGCTACTCCTTTACAAAATAGAGGGAAGGTGATCTTATACTGAACACCCACAGAGTATATAAGCTTTCCAAATGATGTCAGCTAATATCTCTAAAAGACTGTACTATCTGTGCTCAGTGCTCCTCAACCTACATTGCTTTCCCATTTATACATATGCCCAGTGTATAGACTGGAATCAATTCAATGGAAATCATTTTAATACAGATAAACCTTTGGTAGCAGTGTCTGATATTTTATCAAAACTTTTCCACTTATGATACTGTAATAGGTCAGGGTATTTTAGGATAGAACTTCAACTGCCATTTTAGAGTAAGCATTTTGGATTTGCAAGATTTATATGTCCAGGAGAAACATGGGATTATGAGCAAATTACTCCCATCCAGATGCTTTGGCCTCACTTCCCATCAGCCACAATTAATATGGCTAATGCCAATAGACTGTAAAAGAGGTGATTTAAAATGTCAGGATGGCATACGATTCCTTACTTTCTGCCTGCCAGTTCACAGGAACGCTATTTAGGACCCTATGATATGTGTTGCAGCCCCAGTAATTAAGTGGTGGATGGAGTTTTACATTTAACATGCGGATTAAAAAAAAAAGAGAAGATAAAAATGCATTTAACTCTGGTTAGGACCAAATAAAACACAATTTACCCAAGAGTAGAAATTTGCATAATTGGGGACTCAAGTAGTTTCAAGGGAATGGAAAGGAGGACACGCATACTCAAGTGTAAGCAGATTTAACAGTTACAATAAGCAACGTATTAAGGAAATAGACACTCTGGATATCAATAAGAAATACATTGCATGCAACAATGGGCCACACTGGACAGCACATGCAAACATAGAAAAAGGTAGTCCAAAGCACAGAAGAAAGCACAAAGAGATCTCCACAACATCCACCTTGACCCCATCCACTGGCGTACAAGTCCCCAAGAGTCCGACGGCGACCAACATGTCTGGGAAGAGACCAGTACCTCCATGAGACTGAGTTGAGCATGTTGGGGGAAGCAGGAAAGGCACAAAACAGGATATAAGGAGGGGAAAGTTTACCTTTTTAAAAAGAAGATTTAATGCTATGATAAGGTTAACAATGACATGATCCACATACCACACTAAGCAATGATTTAACCATGATTTACCTAATACATCTCAGTTGAGACTGTTCAACACACAAAGTAGTTTTTACAGTATATAAATATGACTTGTTTCCTCCTGGTGTACGGCAGAGACTTGAGCGGTTTGATTTAAAAGGGTACACTAAAATGCATCTCAGGGTTGTTGTTTTTTTCATTTACAAAATAATCATAGGAAAACTTTAGGTTTTTTTACCCATTCTCAGTGCAACTGACCTTACACTCAGCAAATCAAATTTCCACTGCAATTTCTAACATTTGCTTTGCTTTAATTAAGTTCCATTATTAGGACTTTCCCCCTTTGTTCCGTAATAGAAAAAGCTCCTGTTCATGAAGGACTTTCCTCAACAACAGGCCCACGCCCTGCTCCTCCATATCAGTCCATTAAAACAAGTTTTCACTCAGTTCATGTTGCACGTTCATGTGCATTCCCCATGAAAAGATGGGTTACTTTACAAATCGTCTTCAAAAGCACCATTTAAAAACTTTCTGTTCAAGGAATCAACAAAGTGGGCAAACCGGAAAAGGCCTAGCAGATGCTTAATGTAATGTATTTTGCACAAAACAGATTATAAACTGTTTTAAAGCAATGGGACAGAGGATGCTTATAGGGTTTTTCAGTGTTAACCAGTACTACAACTATTGTTCAGATTCTATGCCCTGGGATAAGCATGAACCGTCCATCTGTTTTTTCATTATTTGTTGTTTGGAATTCATATGGGCATTAAGTCCTCGGCTTACAAGTTTGTTTCATGAATGCTCAAACTTACATCTCTGAAAAAAGTGGACTTATGACCGTTTTTCACACAACTGTTACAGCATCCCCATGGTCACATGATCAAAATTCAGGTGCTTGGCAACTGACTCATTTTTATGACGGTTGCAGTGTCCCGGGGTCATGTGATCACCTTTTGTGACCTTCTGGCAAGCAAAGTCAATGGGGGAAGCCAGATTCGCTTAACAACCATCTTACTAATTTAACAAGTGCAGTGATTCACTTAACAACTGTGGCAAGAAAAGTCTCACTTTGCAACAGAAATTTGGGGCTCAATTGTGGTCGTAAGTCAAGGACTACCTATATAGAGCCTGGGCTTTTTATGTCAAAGGCTGATGTAACTTTTGAATGGAAAAGCACTTGAATGCAAAAGTTGATGAAGGAGGAGCCCCTAACAAACCAGTCTCCTCTGCCAAAAATATCAAACTAAATGATGTCAATCTTCATGAGAACTTGATATAGGCAAAAAAACCCATATAGGGACTCCCTTGAAAGTACTCTCTTGGCACTTTAATATTTAGTGTATTTCCTCTCTGAACATTATCCTGAATATTTTATGTGGGCTCAAAGGCCCCCCAAAATCTAAAGTATGAAACAATTTGGGGCTATTCTGAAAGTGTCTTGATCTACTCCCACCTTCTTCAGTCTGCATTGAAAATTCATCCGGGGCACCGTCCTGGACCTCTAGGCACGTTGCGGGAACCCATCCTTGTTCATCCAATGTACTTACAAACCACCAGCCTAAAACATAAGGAAAAGAAGAGTTAGGCGGAGAGTCACAATCCATTCTAGATAGGATCGTGCAGCACAGTCCATCATGGAATGTTCCATCCCAATCCCATGCCAATCGTGGATCCCATGAGTTTGTGGTCTGACTTCCAATTAAGAAAATGAGAGACCTGCTGAGCTCTCTTGGAATTAGGCGATCAATACTGTACTATCCTTCTGCATACGATTTTCCCCCTTACAAACAAAATCCTGTTAATGTAGTGAAAATAAAGGTATGCACTCAAAGGCATGCTGACATACTGGGTACTTCATTTCACTTTCCCCCACTTTTAATTGCTGTCTATTAGAACTATAGCTATGCACTTGTAGAAACGATAGAATATATATATTCTATCATGTACCATTCGATTTCAATCTAACTAAAGAAGGTTTCAATCGGTCTCTTCAGAATTCAAAGTGCAAGATTGCTGCCCCAGGAAATATTGCAGCATTTGAAGCTGAGGCAGTGAATGAAAACAAACAAAAAAATGTTGAGAATCTAGTCCAATTCTATTGGTGTCCTCAACTTATAACCATCTGTTTATCAACCATTCAAAGTTACAACATCACTGGAAAAAAGTAACTTAAGACCAATCCTCACACTTACAATTGTTGCAGCATTACCAGAGTCACATGATCAAAATCCAGACACTTGCCAACTAACATGTATTTATGACAGTTGCAACATCCTAGGGTCATGTGATCACTATTAGCAACTATTTGCATCCCGGGGTCATGTGCTCACTATTTGCAACTTCCCCAGCCAGTTTCCCACAAGCAAAATTGGCAGAGGAAGTTGGATTTGCTTAATCATCGCATGGCTGACTTAACAACTGGAAGAATTCACTTAACAATTGTCGCAAAAAAAATTCCATAAAATCGGCCATGATTCATTTAACAAATGACTTGCTTAGCAACTGAAATCCTTGTCCTTAATTGTGACCATAAGTAGAAGGCTACCTATTTTTCCATAGCCTTTCACTGAACTGATAAAGAATGCCGAGGAAGCATTGTGAAATGTTGGAAATACATCATTTTATTTCTCTAGATTTTCCTTTATTTCTTTATGCTTGAATAATAACTTCAATTTAATTCATATTGCAATCCATTTATTGTGTTCTTCCTAGGTGAATTCATAATTCAAACTCTGTTCAGAGTAGATATTTAAATAACTGAGTGAAAAATGAGGAAGTCATTTCAGTTCTGTATAGTGTTAAAGCAATACAAGATTAAGAATTTACGTAAAAGCTATTCAAATAGAGAATAACATGTTTTATTGTTAATAATGTATTAAAATTCCCTATGTTACAACACAAATCCAAAATAACTTTCAGAGCCCATTTTTATTTACTTAAATAGGCAAAACAAGTGTTACTATTTATTTGTTTTGAAAAACAAAATATATCCTGTTCCAGACACAGATGAATGAAGTTGCTGAATTAATTATGACAATTCTAGAGTAATCATTTAACACAGTGGTTCTCAACCTGTAGGTCGCAACCCCATTTGGGGTCGAATGACCATTTCACGGGGGTAACCAAACAATGCAGTCCGCCATTTTTTCCCCCTTTTCCTTAGCTGTGCTACTCCCTTTTATTCTATTGGCTTTTGAAAGCCAATAGAATAGACTCTCTTGAATAGAGTCTAATTCTATTGGCTTTCAAAAGCCAATAGGAATTGTCCAGGCTGTCTCTGCCCTGCTGAGCCCGCCAAAAGTCCCATTCTGCAAACAGTGCTGCAAGTTGTTTGCAGCGAAGGTGAGCTGTCTGGAAGTTTCCACCCCTCCCCGCTGAGCAACTACTAAAAATGTAAGTAAAAGAGGGCCAGGGGTGGGAGGTGGGAGGCCGGCGGGCGCAGGGAGGGTTGCTGGCACGCGTGGGGCCCGGCGAGTGCCTTACCTCCCTTGGGCTGGGCCAGCTGGTGGCCCAGCCGGTGGTCGGCCTGCGCCGTCTCTGCCGCTTGCCAGCTACGCCTCAGCCGGCGCAGGGGGCGGCACCACGCATGCGTGGCACTCCCGGGCAGGGAAAGTCCTTGACTTATGACCGGTTGGGTAGTCCTTGACTTACGACTGGTTGGGGGTCGCGGCATTAAAAAGGTTGAGAACCACTGATTTAACACATGCACACAAAGCTAGGGAGGCACTCTGTGAATGAAATCCCCTTTTTATTTAACTAATACGGAAATTCCAAAATGGAAAGCTGGGTTCTAGACAGCATGTTCCCAAGAAAATCCAGAAAAGGATTGTGAAATGGGGCTGTGATAAAATCTTACTAAGTTGCTTTCAAACATGAAATTTATTATCCAGGCCAGTCCTCATTAGAACACATTTAGATAAAGTATGTTAGGAAGTTATGAGACATGAGAGATCCTTTTTTACAAACTGTTTTTTCTGGACTCCTATATATCACAGATGATTAATCCTTACCAGATTCATTCTTCTCAATTATGTCCACAACTTGGCCAGCACACAAACTAATTTCAGAGCTCTCTTGCTTCTGATAATCAGCCACCACCACATATTGTTCCAGGACCATGGGATCAGCAGATGACAAATCTCCAGCTATATTGCAGGAAACAAAGACAGCATACTGGTCATTCATGTAACATACTGAAAAATTAGTTATTTGCTTTAATTTTTTTTCAGCTCAGAAAACTTGCATCTTAGAATCTGGATTATATAAAGTAGATGAGGCAAGATGGCAGTTGAAATTTGTGAGTAAACCTTTCTAACTGAATGCCCAGGTTTTTCAGTTGCAGTATCAATTCCTGAGTTGGCCAAGATGGGGAAATATACAAAAGCAAAGGCATTAACTTATATATTTCAGTTCAAATGGATTAGAGTAGGCACCTATTTTGATGAAAGTCACAATATCTCTGTATGACTTAGCTTCAGTCATAATTACAGTATGGAGAAGTTGTGTGCTAACGTTTGATGACACCTCCCAATTATTGTAGGTATTTAGTATAGCACAATTTTTTTCCCCTTGATCTTCAGGAACACCCTCAAGTTTCAGTAATTTAATGGTTATCAGTCAGTATATTATTAATCAACAAAGACAATGAATAAAACCAGAAAAAAACTAGAGAACCAGATTGAGACATTAACTCTGACTCATATCATACTGTAAATGGATAGACCCAGGATAACCAAGCAAAAAGGGTTTTTTTTTAACTTAAAAGCAGAACTCTTGATAGCTGAAAACCTTCCATTGACTTAAAAGTTTGCTGGATTAGTTGGGAATACAAATTAGGCTGGGAAGGACTTTTCAAATATATGTAGTAACAGGATATTTCCAGTGTAGTTATCCTTATTTAGATACCTCATTTTCAACAGAAAATCTGTATTAATTGGAGGGGAGGGTAACATTTGCCTTACATTGGGTTTGTGTATGCTAAATACAACTATTTGATTTCATTTCCTGTGGTCAGTCCATCTAGCCCAGCAACAGCAGCAGATCTGTACTTCCGGAGGATGTGGTTTAAAGCCACAAGCACCACAACCCTTTAAAAAATGGAGCTACTGTAGTTTTTCCAGTTAAGCAGATAGCTTAGAACTTAGAATAACAGAGTTATTCTTGGAGTTCTTCTAGTCCAATCCCTTGTTTGAGCAGGAGATCCTATACCATTCCAAACAAATGGCTTTCTAATATCTTCTTAAAAACCTCCAGTGATGGAGCAGCCACAGCTTCTAGAGGCAAGAATGTTACACTGATTAATTGTTCTGTCAGGAAATTTCTCTTTAATTCTAGGTTGGATCTTTTTGATAATTTTCCAACTGTTACTTCTTATCCTGCTCTCAGGTACTTTGGAGAATAGGTTGATCGCCTCTTCTCTGTGACAGCTCCTCAAATATTGGAAGACTGGTTCCATGTCACCCTAGTCCTTCTCTTTGTTAGACCAGAGGTCCCCAACCTATGGGCTGCAGCCTCTTGGCTGCCAGGCCACATGAGTATAGCTGGGCAGTTACGTGCTTGTGCGCATGCTTACCCCCCCTCGTGCCACCCTTGCAGCAAGTGTGCAGGCAGCGGGCAGCACCACTAGTATTGCACGGATGGTGGCAGCACTGCAACTGGCAGATGGCCTGCGGCGTGATCCTTGCATGGGTGCGGCGGTGCGATCCTCGTGCCGGGGTGGCATCACTACGGGCCACGGTGTGAGCCTTGCGCCGGGGGTGGCATTGCTGCGGGCCGCAGCGCAATCCTCTTGCTGGTGGTAGCATCGCTGCAAGCCTGGAGGTGGCAATGCCACAAGTCTCACACAGGCGCTGCCGTCACTGAGAGCCTTGCGTGCATGCTCACAGCCTCATTTGTGTGGTGCGAATGTTCACAGCCTGTTTGTACGTGTGCACAGACGTGTGGCCACATTCACGTTTGTGCATGTGCGTATAAGGCTCCTGCCCTTCCCTCTCTCACCAGGCCATCAAAACAAAAATGTTGGAGACCCCTGTGTTAGACTAAACATACCTAGGTAAAGTAAACTAACAAAAGCTCTTACTTTACATATCAAATTATGACTCTAACTGCCACCTGTGGCGTGACCTAGAGGATAATGGAACCAAAAACCATAAGGTCCAGAAAACATTATTCAGCATATTAATGTAAAGAAGGAAGGTTTCAATAGTACATATTCAATAGCACATATTCAAAAATTCAGGGTCTGGAAATTCAGAACCACTAAGGGGCAGCAGAGTTACCAGAAAAAAAGGTTTTCCTTTTTTAACTTGAGATGAGAAAAGTGAGCTGAGCTACATTAATAAGAGGTTATTGTACAAGATTTTCTTGTAAAATATGGCCTTTATCCTTAGTTTTTCTCTAGCAAGAAATTCACATTAAATAAAGCACAAGTCTATGTGATCATTGATTCTTTGGCAGCCCAATCTTATGCAAAATGTTAAGTCACATTGTCAGTTAGGTTTATTCCCAGATGAGGGTATTATGTGTGACAATAATTTTAAAGGTAATGCTTGCCCTGTATTTACTACCTACTTAATATTAAATATGCCTGATTTTAGCAGCAAACAGCCCTTGCTTTAAGGGGAAGGAAATGCCCATTAATCAGAACATTCTTCAGGAATAGGTGTATTTATTTATTAAATATATATGCTGCCGATCTCACTGTTGCAGTGACTTTGGACGGCTTACAAAATGATAAAAAGGTAAAAAAGAAAATATGAAATGGTTAAAGTGAAAAGATTAAATAAGAAACTAAAAACCAAGAGAACGGAGAACATAAGGATGGTGATCTTCTCTCTACCCCATCTGCCAGTCCTGGCATAGATTGCCCCCATGGGGCCCCAAGCCAGCCAACAGAGCCAGATTTTAAAGCTCTTTTGGAAGACCAGGAATCTGGGGGCCGACCTCATCTTTAGTGGGTAAATGTTCCAAAGGGTGGAGACCACAGCAGAAGGCTCTTCTCCTGAACCCTGCCAGCTAAAATTCTTTGGCAGATGAGATCCAAAGTAGGCCTTTTCTACAGGAGAAAATGGGATGGGCCAACCCCAGTTTGTTGGTTAGAAATCATTTCTATGTATATGTCTTAAAATTTTGGCACTGTTTGCATGTTTTGTTTGGCCACTCTAGTGATTATATCATCCATAGCACCTCTGTACCAAAATAACCATAATGAAGATAAGTTTTACATTACGTCAATGAAATCTATGTGCAATTATGAAGGTAGAATACATTATTACTGGGGAAAGAGCTTGTAACTGAGAGGGACTTCTGCAGGTAACTTCTTCCAGTAAAGGTGAAGCATGAACGTTGATTCTCCCTCACCGTACGTTTTCTAGAGGACTATATTATATGAGTGAAGTGAAGTCATATAGGAATGAGCCCTGGTTAAAGTGCAGTATTGTAGGCAAACTCTGCCACAGTCTGGAATTTGATCAAGATTGAGTCAGCCTTCCATCCTTCCAAGGTCAGTAAAATGAGGACCCAGATTGTTGGGGGCAAAATGCAAAATAATGTTTCTACATTGTAAACCACTTAGAGTGCTGTAAAATGCTATGGGGTGGTATATAAGCCTAATTGCTATGGCTTTGCTATAAGAAAATATGTAAGTTTAAGGTCTTCACATATTTCAGTGTCCATGCTGGTCCGGGACAAAAGACTCTGATCTAAAATATTATTCTAAGAAAGGAACAATTTTTGTACAAATAAGAAAAAGGAATGAAGATAACAAAAAGAAGCCAGGTTCTCCAACTGATGCAATAAATTGGCTCTGAATCGAGTATATGGCAAAGTGCTATGAAGAAAATTTATTGGAGATGTCATGATGAAACCAGCAGTAAGAAAAGGCAAGAATATTTTGTAGAAAGAATAGCTTAGCTCAGTGATGGCGACCTTTTAGAGATCGAGTGCCCAAAAACTGCCCCACCCACTCTGCCCCTGCCCCCGCTATGCCCCCGCCACTTCCACCTGCAGGACCACCCACCGCCTCCACGGCCCGCCGTAGCAGATCACCCAGGCGGCCCAGCAGCGTCATGGCAGCCATCCCCTCCGCCTGCGCCCCGCAGCATCATCTACACTTGATGGGGTGTGAGGATGGAGTCTTGTCCCTGCTGCCATGTGCTTGGCTGTGCTGCTCTGTGCAGGCCATGCCTGGGGGCAACTCTCCTCCAGGGGTGCTACTGGTGAGGAGGGGGCCGTGGGGGCAGCCAGGACTGGGGCAACGGCGCACATGCCCTCAGAGAGGGCTACGAGTGCTGCTTCTGGCACGTGTGCCATAGGTTCACCACCACTGGCCTAGGTATACAGGACAGGCAACTTATGGCTGCATCATTCTAGCTTTTAGATGACTGCATGATCAGTCTTGGGAAGATCTATGGTTAAATATATCTTTTCAGGAATGTAAATGTGAAATTTGAAAATAAGAGATAGTTTCTCTTATTGGTTTCTTAGTATATTCTCAGGTGCATTTCAGATATGACTGGGAATCATGTGGGCTGGAAATTGTCCATCACAGCTGGATACCACCAAGATGGAAACTATGAGATTTTACTATCATGGGTCTATGATTCTCCAGGTGAGCAGGGCAGAGGCATAGTTCATTCTAATTACAGTGTCATATCTCTGAAAGATAAATGGAGGAAACTGCCACAAAGAGACAGGTCTAATGTCCAGAAAAATGATGACTAGAGGGTCGATCTCCTGCCTATTGCTAACTGCCACTCTGGTTTGACTAAAGAATGAGGTCAGCTAGTCAGTAGAAGGCAAACAACTGCAGGAAAAGAGAAGAAAGTCTTTTTCCTGTCACGAATTCCCTATATAATTTACTCACAGTATCCTGGGGCTATTTGCAGCTTTAAGATGCAGCTGTGGCACCTTCAAACTGCCTATTACAGTCATCATCACAAAGCACTAAACAGCACTGAGTGGGAAAGCTCGAGGTTATTTTCAGCAGCTTTTTCTTCTTCCCAGGACAATGATTCCCAAACACTAAATAGTAAGTACATTTGCAGGAAAAGATGGCCTTTTTCTGGGATAAGTGTGAGATTCTTAAATTGAGATACTATTTTTGGCTCCTCAGAAGCAGCAATGTGAGTCAGGATTGGCTGCAGTGGTTACTAAATTTAATCAAAGTGCTATATGGAAAACAGCATTATTCTACAAATATCTGGGTTAGATAAAAGCTGTTTTGTCCAAAATGTGTTAAATTGAGCTCCAAAGCCCAAGATAATATAGAAGTATTAGACACGAAGAAGATATATAAATCTGACATTAAAAAACCCCCGCTGGTTGCAAGAACAAAGGCTCAACATTGCATGACTCTGAACAAGTTAAAATAAAGAACCACATTAGAAAATGGATGTGACACAGTCATTGAAAACTTATTTCAGGGAGTAATAAGTATACAGAAGGGATACTTATTACCAGAGGGAAAAAATCAACAACTAATTCTCAATTTACATTCTTACAGTCTTTAATTACACTATTACTGTATAATTTTATTATTACATTCTTTAATAACATGCATGACATTAAATGATATAGACATGGCACAAAAGTTGAGGCCTTTGGGGGCTTTTGAGTCAAGCTGTGATTTCCCCAACACTGTCAAATAAAACATGCCTTGGAAACCAAAATTTAGGAAAACTGTGATTTGCCATAGAATCTTATGAAGAAATTATCTTGGTTATGCAGTTCATTGGCTTCCCTGCCTTGAGGCATATTATTTAAAGAAATGGCCATTCTTCTACATACCCAAACATTTGCCATCATTGTTTGACACAAGAATTTTGGACAGCAGCTATGTACAAAAATACATTCTTTTTATTTTATTTATTTTTATGTGTTAAGAAAGTTTATATGGCAGCCCAACTATTCACAGTGACTCTAGGTGGTTTACACAAGTAAATTTATATGTTTATATACCTCTTATTTATGAATGTTATTGGGGAAAAAGATCTGATACCACCATTAAGTGTTGGAGAAGACTTCAATGATACATTTCTAAAGGCAAGATTTTAAATGACCTATTTCTATAAGTAAGATTTTAAATACTTTTTAATTATTGATGGACACAACTAAACCGTTAGCCAAATAGAAACTGACAGATAAAAAGCTCGGGAACTGACACCTAACATTCCTTTCAAAGACAATTTTATACTATTTGGGAATAATTTTTGATTCCATTAAAATACTTTGAAGAGGATATTCATTAAGTTTTTAGTATTTTCAACAGCTACTTTATTTAAATAATTGATTATAGCCCATTAGGCTATACATTTTAACATGTAGTAATAATTGATTTAAATTAATTTTTGATGTCTTCTGAAAATAGGTAATCCTTGTCCAACCTAATCTGCATTTCCTACCTAACAAGTTAATAGAAATGCTTTAATTAGCATTGTAAATTGTGCTCTGGGGAATGCAAAATGCCTTCAAAGAACTAATTATGAAATAACTGATAAAAGAGCCTGGATAAAAAATGCCTCTTCAAAGAAGGGCAAATATAGTCCAATTTGAATGGTTGGTTTAAAAACATAAAAATACTTCAGAGTGCTAATTTTTCATTTCCTGGCAATCCTGAAAGAATATTACCATATCTTGATCGATTTCAAATCAATTCATAAGTGATTGCAACTTGAGATTGACCAGACCGCTCAATGGCCAATCTTTGTTTAGGGATTACAAGAAGGAATGTGACTCTATTGATTATTCTTGACTTCTCAATATGTTTGATGTTATTGACCATCATAACCCAATCTTTAGGATCACCCAAGAGATCAAAGAAATAAAAAGTGCTGCTTTGCTCTATTTCTATCTCTCACAGAGGTTTCACACGGCATTCCCTGGAGACAATCACTCCTTGAAACAGAAGCTATTATATATACCCCCTCAATGGGACTTGCTGTCTCTCGATCTTGTCTTTCATTCATGCAAATGAAGCCACTGGAAGATGCCTGCTATCAGTATGTTGATGACATCCAAATTTATTGCTCTGTAATAGCTGTAGCTAATGGAATAGCTCCCTCGAATGCCTTCCTGCAGTTGTTAATGGGCAGAAGAATAAATAAAATGAAGCTGAATCCAGATAATAAGGAACTGCTCATTATGAACTGTCATAATGCCAGGGAGGTGCTAGATTTCCCTGTTACAAATAGATCAGACATACCCCTTCCCCCTCGAAGGATCACAACTGCACTTTAGGAGCACTTCTCATCTGAATTTTCCCTAGTTTTTCACATGGTGGAATGGCCTTTTATTAGCTTCCGCTATATGCCCCTTCCTGAAAGATAATGGTCTTAGAACTGTAATGCATGTATCAGAATACCTTCAGGCTTGACTACTACAATGAAGCTTAAATGGATGGGGCTGCCTTAGTTCCTACTTTGGAACTGCCAGTGGATGAAGAACTGCCAGTCTCTGGGAGAACTCAAAGAGAAGACTTTCACTTGTCTTCATTTGACCCTCACTTGACACACCCACACCTGAAGCCCTTATAAACAGAATACTGACACTGACGTCCCCTAAACTCCACTGCAGATGTTAGCCTGGTAACGAAATGTTCGGAAACCAACCCACAAGCTTGGAGAACGAATCTTCACCCTGACTTTCACTTGTGCTAAAAGCCCTGCAATAGCTACCAAGAGGTTTCTGAGTGAAAGTCCAAGACAATTTGGGTCCAGGTTGCTAGCAAGAATCTCTTTTTACAGGATCCCCAATTACTGAGATGCTTTGAGCAGTTTTGCCTGCAGCTGCTGAGGCATGGTTCATGCTGAATCAGAGCCAAGCCTTTGCTGTAGCCACAGTTCCTGGGAAGGCACTTGGTGTTGAGTCAAGAACATCACCCCTTGGTTGCCTTTTCCAGTTCCACAAGAACAGATTTTTAAACAGTTATTTTTCTTTTTAAAATAATTCAGGTTTTAATTCTGATGTTAATTTATTTATTGTAAGCCACCAAGAGACCTCAAAAGACAATGGTGCATTTTAATAATAATAAGAATGTAAAATTGTGAGTCATCAGAGATAGGCTTATTCAGGTACAGTGCATGTAATTCTATCCTGTGCTTAGGCATCAGACATTTTCATCATTTGCAGGTACAAAAATGAACTTATGGAAACAAACTATGGTGATTTATCCAAATCCAATTTAACCATACTACTTTTCACCAGATATCCCAAGTTGTTTTAATTCAACCTGTTATGAAATTTCTTCCCAGATTATCACCAGAGCACTGAAGCCGCCACCAGCAAAGCAGAACAGTTGCTACCTAGTTAGCTGAAAATCAAGCAGGTGGGGTTTTGTTAACTCTTCCACAATGCCATATAGTGTGGATTTTAATTTATTGTCCCAGTCTCTACCCAGAAGGAAGCAGTGGTCCTACAAGGCCATGACTGATCAGAATACCCAAGACGAGCAGCAAGCATCGCCCAGCAGAAAGGAAAGAAACGTAAGACTCAAGTAGTCTGTTTTGCTGTTACTACCTGTCGGAAGGAAAGAAGCCGTTCTCTGGACAAATCCTGATGAAAGAACAAAAATTATGGAGAATGGCCACGAGGAAGGTGCAAGAATATAAATTCAGAATAGTGACAGTCTTAGGGAAGTTAATTGTATGTCAATTTGGATTTTCAAGTTGAAGGAAGACATCATACTTAATATCTTTATGACAATAAAGATATTCTAGTCTATGTCTACCAACAGTGTACTGATTATCAGAATTATGAACCCTTGTAAAGCCCAAAAAACATCATCCATTTAAGAGCAAGAGATATCAACTTGCAGAAGAAGAAAGAAAAGAAAAGATCTGGGAGATAAAGAGAGAAAAAAACCTATTCAGTTATTTTTACTCTTAGAGGTCCCTACAACGGATAGATAATTGATTCTATTTCTTCTCATGTAACAGTTTGGTGAATCAGATTTAGAAAATGTGAAAGGTGAAACGATTCAGCTCAATTCCTGATGACTATGTGAACATATTCAAGTGGTTCTTATGGGAAGAACATAAAAGGAGTTGGCCATTAGCTTTTTTTTAGAATTATTTTTAAAATTTTCCAATCTAGACAACAAGTCTGGAATGTTCTGGGAATTTTCTATCCACATACTTACAGGTCCAACCCTGCTTAATAGACATATGCAAAACTAAATATTCTCTTCCTCCTCTGAATTATGTTGACCTGGCAGTTTTCTAGGATTTTAGGATGAGCTTTTTTTTCAAGTCAGACAAAGCCAACAAACAGTTGCCATCTTCTGCTCAGGAAAATTAAGTCTGTGCTAGCTGTGGGGCTGGTGTGTGTGTGTGTGTGTGTGTGTGTGTGTGTGTGGAGAGCAGACCTTTCTGACTCTTGTCCCATGACATAATTAGATTAGTAGGAAAAGATCAACATTTGAAAAGCAGTCCCTGGCCTTGCTTGCAATGCATCTACCTAACATCTCCCAGTGTGATAGATATATTTAAACAGAGTGTATTTAATGGGACAGATTCACTCAATCTTTATGAAACAAAGGTAAATGGTATGTCTGCAATCTGTCTCAATTAACCTATTTTGCCTTCTTTCTGCTGGCATTCACACAACTCAGACAATATCATTTGTTGTGGAAAGAAAACTTGAAGGAAGAGATAATGCTAAGGGAATAATCACATGTGTACCGGTAATTCATCAAATATTTGCTGAGCCACCAGGCATCACCAAGTTCCTAAACCAAAACAGAAAGGTTGGTGTGTTTGAAAAATGCAAGTGACTGTTTTGTTTATTAGAAGAAAACCTCAGGGTGAACTTGTTGTGGAAATATTGTTGTAGATTGTATTTATCTGCAGCAATTAACCTAAGCAGAATAGCCCAGTGGGAAAAGGACCTTGGTTTGTCTTTGTCATGAAACCAAAGGAGGAAAAGTAACGCAGAATTCAAACTTTTACTAAACAACTAGAACTACTTTAACTACTTTTTTCTAGAACTACTTTCAAAAACGATTTGCTCACTCCAGTGGTGATATCACAAAGAAGCCCAGCACAATGTGAAGCAAGCAAAAGTAGATCCCCTCACACATATATAATATATACTGCTCAATTGATCTTATATGTGCCTCATCAAAACACAGGGAAATTTTGGTCAATTGGCACAGGCATGTCCTTTTCTATTGCCAGTAACTCTTAACATTTCCCCTGGCCTAGAGTCTTTGTTTTGTTAGATGTTATTGGATTATATAAATTCTGATTCAGAGATAATCATAGTTGCAAATACATAGAGAAGATTCTATTCCCATCTTCTTTAACACTGTGCTATCTGCTATTTGGTAGGAGATAAAGTTGTAACTTTTCTCTGAAGATCTTAAGCTGCACTTGAAAATCAACAATCTCAAACAGAACATCACAGTTATAAAAAAAAAGGCAGATAAAAGATGAAACTCTCCTCCACCCCCACCCCTTGCCACCTTTTAATTTTGGCATATGCATTTCTGCCTTGCATTAGCTTCCATTCTGAAAGTGGAACAAAATAGGGATAATTAAAAAGGTAAAAAGGCAAATTCAGGTAGCAATTTGGAAATAATTCCTTTAACTTTTCTTAGAGATGGTTAAGAAAAAGCATGTAGATCAGTCAAGGTTTGTAATAGCCAATAGATGTGGGCAAATTCAAATAATTTTGTAACAGATCAAAAGAGTTTGAAAAAAGATAAGCAGAAAAGTACAAGTAATGGCCTTACCAGATCTCTTCTTTCCAATTGGTTCACTAAGGAGAAAAAAAAAACCTAAAATCAGTAAATCAATAAACAGCTTTGTCAATCTGAATGAAAGTGGTTTATTCCAAGTGCCAGGAAATAAAAATTCAAACCTACATTGTCATCCAGTCACTGACTTTTTGAATTACAGTATACAGTTATGCACATTAGTTGCCAATAGGATGCTTAAAGATATTTCATTTTTTTTAAGAAATTCTTTTGATTTTCTTCTGAAACTTTCTGACACAAGAATGCATACAAATCAGCTATCCCTTTCCTTTTGCTGCTTCCGAATATTGCCATGGTGGTGAACCTATGGCACAGGTGCCACAGGCGGCACACAGAACCCTCTCTGTGAGCACGTGTGCCATCGCCCCAGTCCTAGACCTTCAGCTGGGTTTTATAAAATCTTTTCGCTTTAGGCCTCCGCTGCCGTGTGCAAAAAAAAAAAAAAAAAAAAGGGTTCAATCAATCAATTCCAACTTCTTGTGGAAAAAAAAAAAGATCTCTCAAAGTTGGAATTGATTGATTGAACTTTTTAGTCCCACCCAGTCTGTTGTTACCACCACAGCCATGCCCACCTAACGGGTCACACCCACACAATGGGCTACGCCCACCCGGCACCCGACGATACATAAGTGAGTTTTGGTTTGCAGTTTGGGCACTCGGTCTCTAAAAGGTTCGCCATCACTGATCTATTGCTCTTCTACAAAAGTAGAAACAAGAGAAAAAATAAGGGATAAGTATTTTTCTGGGAACTATAGAGTGATATACTGAGAATACTTTCCTGGCAACATGAGTTATATGAATTTTAGAGAAATGGCTGATATATGTATTGACCATAGACCAGTGGTTCTCAACCTTTTTAATGCCGCGACCCCCAACCGGTCGTAAGTCGAGGACTACTCAACCAGTCGTAAGTCGAGGACTACTCAACTGGTGCAGCACCGTTTGCAGAATGGGACTTTTGGTGGGCTCAGCAGGGCAGAGACAGCCTGGACAATTCCTATTGGCTTTTGAAAGCTAATAGAATTAGACTCTATTCAAGAGAGTCTATTCTCCTGGCTTTCAAAAGCCAATAGAATAAAAGGGAGTAGCACAACTAAGGAAAAGGGGGAAAAAATGGCGGACTGCGTTGTTTGGCGACCCACGTGAAATGGTCGTTCGACCCCAAATGGGGTCCCGACCCACAGGTTGAGAACCACTGCCATAGACCAAAATGGATTGTGGAGATAGCTGAGAGGAAATAAGGGAGTCACAAGTCAAAAGTCTATTGTCATATGGCTATGGTTGCTTGGTAATTACTGATGCTCCCTTCCAGAAATATTTAGAACTTAAAGTCTCAAAGTTGACTTTTGGAAAATATTATCTAACAAGTCATACTTCCATTTGAGTATACATAAGTCTATCATACTAGAGATCATACTAATTTACATATTGTCTATCCACTGTTTGTGAAAACCAACATGGCAAAAAATGAATATGCCAGTCCAAACGTGCTTCATATATACCCTTCTTCTGTGCTTTCCAAGCCATCAAATACAATTTTGTTGGTGAGTTCTACAAAATTCTAATTGCAACATTTTTGCATGCATTTGTCGCTGGTTCGCTTTACCTTCCAAAGGACTTAATACTGTGACATAGTTATCAGCTCCTTAGCAGATCAGCACACAGTAAACATATATACAAAGAAACAAAGGAACTGAAGGCAGAATGTTTGTCTTTCCATTTCACATAAACCACAGACTTGCTGTTCTCATAAAAGATTCTCTAAGATTCTATTGGTCCACCAGGATTATCTTAAAACAATGTTCATCTCCTGTAACAGTTGCCCAAATGGAATTTATAGAGGTGATTATTTATAGCTGGACCAATAAAATGAGACTAATCTAAGGTTTTGCTTTCTAACTTGAACATTAACTTTTTCAAACAAATTCTAAAATAACATCCAGCTCTAAGGAATGCATTTATGCCAATACATTTCACATAGTACATTTTACTTTATAGCTGCTAGGAATGTTTTTTTTACTCTGGGAACCACTTCCTCTGAATGTTGAAAATGGATGTTGTATGCTGACTTTGCATAATTATATCTGCATACCTATGTTTAAAACTGCAGGAGATGAGCCAGTTAAGATGTTAACAGCTGTCTGTCAATAAACAAGGAACAAGACTGTGTAGCCTAGAGACCGGAAAAAAATGATTCTTACATCGAATATAAAACAAGACAAGCAAGAAAATTATGCAAATTACTGGGCCATTGCACTAATTTCTTACCCAAGCAAAGTTCTGCTATAGAATAGATGATACAAAGAAGAGTACAATCATCACTAAACTGAGAAGTGCCAAATAATACAAGGGTTTCAGAAAGGGGTGTGGGGAACAAGCCAATATAGGATGGATGATGGTGAGATTAAGAAAATAAAAAAGAGATTTACCTGTGCTTTACTGGTTATCATGTGACCTTTAACCAGAGTTTTCAGCTTATTTGAGGGGACAGTGGGAGGGAGAGACACATGCTAGGGATGATGGGTTAGGAAGGAATGTGTTTTTCTGAGTGTAGCCAATTTGCTTTCAATTGAGCCCTATAGTGGAAATACACGATTTGGCTGTTGGACCTTAAGGACATTCTTTGCTTTTATATTGGACCAAATGCTTCATCTGAAAACTCTGAGAGAGTCTAGAGGTGAGGAAATCTCACAAGTGAAAAAGAAAGGGAGACACGGCAAACAGCAAACTCAAAGGTCCTGTACTTAAAAAAATCATAAACCCAGTTTTGTTTCATCCCAGGTTATGATGGTCCAGACCCCAAATATAGGGAAAAGGAGGATCATAAGAGCATTATTATTTTTGCTCCTTTGAGTCAGTTTTTGACTCTGGACGACTGCTTGGACAAGTCCCTGAAGTTTTTTGGCAAGGTTTTTGGAAGAAGTTTAACATTTCCTGCTCCCTAGGGCTGAGCAAGAAGGACTGGCCCAAGATTACCCAGCTGATTTTATGTTTAAGGCAGGACTAGAACTCATGGTCTCCCGCATCTAGTCTGATGCCTTAACCACTACACCAAAAAGGTTCTCCAGAAGAGCAGCAGTCCCCAACCTTTCTGGCTCTACAGACTGGCAGCAGTGGCGGCGGCAGCAATAGGCGGTGGCAGGGAAAGGGGATGGTTTTGTGTGCGCAACCTAATCCCATGCATGCGCAAATGGAGCTTTGTTGCTCTTGCCCGTCGCTTGTGCAGCCTGGTTCCCAATGGGTCGTGGACCAGGGGTTGGGGACAACTGCATAAAAGCATTTGTTTTTGATTTAATATATGTTGCCTTCTGATCTAGTTTATTAAAAGTATTAAATGTAATAGGTCTTTCTCCACTACATTTCCTTTTTGACTGAGGTAGGGTAAGGGAGGCAGGTTTTTTGTTTGTTTGTTTTTGTTTCTGACTTTCAACGAGCTATAAGGCAACAGATAAAACATTAGAAACTTCACATAGCCTGCAGTTTCCTCTCTCCATCCACTGCCCTCAGCAACTGAAGAAAGCCATGTGCTATATGAGCCCCAAAAGACAACGGAGAAAGGCTAAAATCAGAAGACTCCAAATGCACTACGTACAGGGATTTGGGAGTTTTAAGACCCGTCTCAAGGTTGTTTTTGTGCTTCGCTTCATTTTTGTCTGAAAGGGGATGTAGTATATTAGTGAATGCTTTCTTCTGTCTGGTTTACATAAGAAAATAACAAAAGTAGAAAGGTTTTTACCAAAAGTGGGAAAACCTTGAAACAAAACCAACATCTCAGTAGGCTACACAAAAATAGAAAAAAATAAATAAAAAGCCTTTGGCCGTAACAAAGTGAAGCTCAAAACAAAAACAGTTCTTCTGTTGCTTCGTTATTCTGGCCAAGCTTGGCTAGTGTAACAGGAAACTATCAAACTCATACTGAAAATCCTAGTATCAGCTTTGGGCTTCTAGGAACCTCAGAATGTTTAGAGAACATTTCTCAAGGGGAGAAAAGTGATTCATTGTGGCAAAGAGGGGCTCAGCGTCAATCCTGACTTTGGAACATGCAACCTACAAGAACCACGTCAGGCAAAGCTTCTCTTATTAAGCCGACTTGGTTTTTTGATACAGTCTTAAGAATCAAAAAAATATAAAATGCAGGAGTAGAACAGACTTTATTCTCTTTTTGAGAGAATATTTCCTCCACGTTCATCCGATTTTCTGGATGTGCTCTGAGCCACCAAGCAACTAAAGGAATTCATCTGTTGCTACATTTATCAGTCCTGCCTATATCTAAGCTCGTCTCTCCCACTTATCCTCACTGATATGAAAAAACTAATCTTCAAATCTGGATCCATTTGTAGCCCTCATGTACAACTCAGGTCTAGCCACAGATTTGGAGAATCCTGAGGCTTTCAGAAGTCAGCTACAGATAAGCAAGGAGGAAACATACTCGGCAGGTCCAGGATATTGCTGGAGGTAAGGGGGACTGGACTGCAAGGCGATCAAACCGGTCAGTCCTAGAGGAGATCAACCCTGACTGCTCTTTAAAAGGCCAGATCCTGAAGTTGAAACTCAAGTACTCTGGCCACCTAATGAGAAGGAAGGACTCACTGGAGAAGAGCCTAATGTTGGCAAAGATTGAGGGCAATAGAAGAGGGGAATGACAGAGAATGAGGTGGCTGGATGGAGTCACTGCAGCAGTAGGCGTGAGCTTAAATGGATTCCAGAAGATGGTAGAGGACAGGAAGGCCTGGAGGAATGTTGTCCATGGAGTCGCGATGGGTCAGACACAACTTCACAACTAACAACAACAAAGGGGGACTAGATGAGAAAGAGCAGGAGATCAGATCCCTTTCAACTTTGTAACATGAGCATATGGTCTGCCCCTAGAACCTAAAGGAAATTGCACTTGCCCATTTCTTCTTGCACAACATTTTTATTGTACATAGAGAGGCACAGAGAATAAAGCACTGGTACTCCAACAAATTGGTTTTCACAGCCACAGAGTGACTGCTGAAAAAAA